ACATTGTATGGGTCAAAATTATCGATTTTTCTTTTATGCCAAAAATCATTAATATATTAAGTAAAGATCATGTTCCATGAAGATATTTTGTAAATTTTCTACCGTAAATATATTAAAACATAATTTTTTATTAGTAATATGTATTGCTAAGGACTTCGTTTGGACAAATTTAAAGACAATTTTCTCAATATTTTGATTTTTTTGCACCCTCAGATTCCAGATATTCAAATAGTTGTATCTCGGCCAAATATTGTCCTATTCTAACATTCTAACCATACATCAATGGAAAGCTTATTTATTCAGCTTTCAGAAGATGTATAAATCTCAATTCTGAAAAATTGACCACTGGTTTTGTGGTCCAGGGTCACATATATTAGACAGATTTTGAACCAAAGGAATTTAGCTGTTGGCGGAGCTACAACGTGCAATGCTTCAGAAATAAAAAGTAAGACACTAACTAATTTGTTGCAGTCACAAATTTTAGGTGAAAGAAATTGCCTATTTTATTGCACGCTAATAGTTAAGATATACTGCAAAAATAAATTAATATACGAGCATAACAGAACATATAACAGTAGTGGATACATTTTGCATACACCTTTCATAGAATCAAGGTAATTATAGTTAATTAAAATTAAAACTAAAACCATAAAAAAATGTTACTTGAAAAAAAAAGAGTTAAGTGAATTAAATGAAATAAAATAAAGTAAAACCTAACTTTTTTATTTTAGCTAGTTGCTATTTTTAATTTTGATCTTATGTTTAACTTGATGTACTAAAATAGCTAAAACTAAAACTGAAAGAAAAAAAAAACTAACAAAAATGGCATTGAATGGAAAGGAAACACCTGAATATAGTACATTTACTTTATAATCACAGCCTATTGAGGATGGACTTAAATTGAGAATAAGTAATGGTAAAAGATGTATCACCCCTGCATTTAAGCCGTTTGATTAAATCTTAAATTGCAGGGAGCTCAATATCCGCATAGTTTCTGTGAATTTGTAGAAGGTTAAGATTGATGAGTCATGCAGCGCTGCGGTTACATAAGAGCCATCACAGCTGTAGCTGCCGCAGCAAAAATGAGAAATCAAAGAGGCTTATGCTCAGATCTGAGGTATAGTGACCCTCCATCTATCACACCAGGAAGAGCCCAATGAATGCTGAAAATAGCTCAGGATTCACACAGGGACAGATGAAGGACATTAATAAAAAATAAAAAAAGCATAAGTGATGCCTCGGACCTAAGAGAAACTTTGTGACATGGGTGAACATCTATCACAGGTTAAGACAAGTAGTGACCTATCATCCTTTTTCCTGGAAAGCCAAAGTAAGCGACACAGGATTGTTTACCTCCTCGCAAACCGTTTGCCTAGCAACCACTTCATATTGACCTCTAACCCCCAGAATCATTGAAACTTCGGCTGACTGTGTTGACATGGTGGAGCATTCATTGGTGCTTTTCTCAATGAGGGCTAATATCCCTAAACAACCAAACTGAGCTCAGGAAAGGTCACATACTTAACCACAGAACATAAAGATGTATAAACACAGGCGTTGCCAACTGTAGGACTAGTTTAGGATTAGTAGAATATTCTGCACTATGTTATGTGTTAATCCTGCTTTGGTAAATTGTGACTTAATGATTTTTTTGTAAAAATTATTATTATTACTTTTTCCCAGCAAGGATGCATTCAATTGAATAAAAGTAACAGTAAAGGTATTACACAATTATTACAAAAACATTTCCATTTAAAAAAAAAATCTGTTCTTTCTATTCATTAAAAAGTAAGTATCATGTTTTCTAACCATGATAAAGAAATATTAGGCAGCATAGCTGTTTTTAACACTCGTAATAATCAGAAATGTTTCTTGAGCATAAAATCAGCAATGATTTCTGAACGATCACGTGACACCGAAGACTGGAGTAATGATGCTGAAAATTCAGCTTTGTATCACTGGGGTAAATTACATAAAAAATATATATATATATATATATATATATATATATATTTAGTATTACTTTTTTTATCAAAAGCCTCATTGAGAGACTTATTTCAAAACCAATATAAAATATCATCTGCCCCAAACTTGGCCGATGGTGTATAGAAACATGACTCAACACGAGTTCCTTTACAGTATCTAAAACAGCAGTCCCACCAATAAAATCACAACTTAAACAGCTTTACAGCTCAAATACCACACATGTGTGAATGGAAGGTTTATTAAAAGTGCTTAAAACACACACACACACACACACACACGCAACCTGCTTTTAAACCCTCTGGATTGCTTTTTCCTCATAGACTTCCATTGCAAATTGCTGCAAACATGACTATTATTCCTTTTAATACGTCTTTTAAAAATGCCTTTTATTTCCTCTGTTATTAAGTCTACCGTAACTGCTTTAGGTCTTCCAATAACTGTGCAGTAATAGTACATTATAATACAGTTTATAATAAGAGTTCTGCTGTTTCTATCGGTTTTGGGTCCTGTGAGAACTGAACAGGACATGCTTACTTCATTTAGCTCTGCTTCTGGGAAACACTTCACTTCAAAACCTCCAATCCTGCTTAACTCAACAAAAGCTTACGAACTGAAAAGTTGTATAAGGACAGTAAGACACAATCTGCAACATCAAACGAAATGAGGGACTCTGGTTCATAAGAGCTAAAACGCATGGCATATCCAGATACAATGTCCTGATAGTGTGTGTGATCTCAACAGTACAGCTTCACAAAAGCTCAACTATGCGCAAAGACAACAGAGCCATAAATGCTACAAGTAGCTCTGTCCAGTTGCTAAGCAAAAAAATGTCCCTTCACAGTTGGTTGATAACCAGCCAATCCCATTCCTGCTTCCAAATGATTGTTACTAATCAGATCTGGACGCAATGTTTCAGAAGATGCCACAATGTAACACAGTAAATGTATTCTTTTAAAGTATATTATAAGTACTGTGTACTTCTTTTCACAATGATAGGGTCCATGTCTGGACACAATGGCTTCTCAGAGGATCATGGGGGAAAGTGTGGTGGTCTGTCAGCCAGCTTAGAAAATGATAAAGACAAACCCCACAATGGAGAGCAATCTCTGCTGTGAGGCTAATTTAAAATGAAGTCCTAATTTCCTGTTTCAAAGCCAAACCAAAAATATAGAGCGGGGGCCCAGACAGACGTTCACTTTTCCACAAGCCACCGCAACTATCATGAAATATTTATGCAGGGCCATTCTAAAATTAAACATACACAAGGAATATAGATTGAGCTTGTCATCCAGCATCCAGTGAGGGAGGAAGAGCCCTGAGGGGGTTGTTAGGACACACATGAGCAGTATAACTATTGACCCTCACATGTGAACAAAATTACCAAAAGAGATGCTATTGATCTGGGATGAGGGAGATGCAGTAACCTGTACCCTCTTCCTATGTTGCTGTTCTCTGGCTTTTCCCACCAGTGCTATTGCTGTCAACTACTGTAAAACTTAAACTACTGTATGAAAAAAAAAACTGAAATAAAGCAGAAAAATAACATATAGGCCTATAATAAACATTAAATGAAAAACTGAAAATTAAAAAAGGTTGTCTTGGCAACTAACTGTGAAATAAAACATTTTTGTTGAAATAGTAAAATTACTAAAACTAAATAATAATAATAATAATATTAGCAAAATAAATATATTAAAATGAAATTATTCTAGTAATACATACCAGCAAAGTGCGTCATTATGATCATTATGCGTGCAAATTTTTAGCAAGAGTTCACCCAAAAGTTCATCCTGATGTATTCATATATATATATATATATATATATATATATATATATATACATACAGTATATATTTGTATTAAAAAAAATTATTCAAATGTGGCAGGTCACAGAATCGATAACGTGATAGTTAAAAAAAATATATTGTATGCAAACATGAATAAGATTTTAGAGCAATGTCAGATAGCAAGTTTTTCTTTTAATAATAAAATAAAATAAAATAAAAAATGTAGTCTATTCCTCACACAAAGCAACTGTATAACTACAGAATACTCGGAAACCTCTTTCATTTCATGGAAACAAGCAGTGTGAACATTCTGCTGAATATCTTGATTTTATTTATTGATTCTTTTTTAGTTGGGAGAACATGAGTAAATAATGGCATCGTTTTCATTTTTAGGTGCATTTTCATTTTGCTCTTTCCAATAAAAGACATGAAAAGAGCAAGGAACCATAAATAACTGTCAGATCTATATTCTGCATTTGAAAAGACATATCATGCCTGGATATATGGGCTGTTGCTAGCCACCCTAAACCAAACAAAAAAGACACACACACCACATAATTGAGAGTTTGAGGCAGTTTGAACCCTGCACTTAGATTTTCGTTTTATAGCATGGATAACTGCTATTCCCCAGAGAGACACACACATTGTTTCCATTAGCTCAGAGTATCCTTGACAGTACTGAAACCATGCAAGTATTTCAGATCAATCCAGACCGCAGTAAAATGTAGACCTCTCACGAAGGTCAAAGAGGTGATGGGTGAAGATTTTATAACCTAGACATGCACCGTCTGCTAAAATAGTTCATTAAACAGTGGATTTACAGTTGATGAGAGGGAGTTGTTTACCTTGTATCTGGGGTATGTAGGGCGCCAATAATTTCCCTCTTTTCTTTTCATAGCCTTTCTGTGTGATGTCACCTACAGAGAGAGAGAGAGAGAGAGAAACAAAGGGATTGTGATGAATCATGCATTCTGTGTTTGAAAAGCAGGCATCACATTGCTCAGCATCAGCCCATCAGCCTGGCACAGCAGGGCACAGAGAAAGTTCACCAGCCCGCTGGTG